CTCACACCTAAAATAAAAAGAAAAAAGACCTAGCCTAATCAGACAAGATAAAAGCGAAAAGAGAAAGAGAGAGCTACGTTAAAACAAAGAAAAGAGCTATATCGAAAAGATGGAAGGTCGATCAAGATAAGAAGGAAGGTCATAGAGAACCGTTATAAAGACAATTAGCAGCCTTATAAGAAAAGAATGATGTAAGATCAGGACAGAGAGCATCATACAGCTATATGAGTCAGTACGTACCTACATTGACCCAGTATCTCTCACAGATGAAAGAAAGCAATCAGACTCTTCCGTATCCCATACACCCATACCACCATACCGCCTACTTCACTGAGTAGATAGTTAAGAAAGAGAGCTTAAGGTGATAACATATCAAATTTTATATGTAAGGCGTTAGCTCCCCTCGCTTCGCTCGATATGAAAACCCCGGTAACCTGGTATTGGTAGTAGCATCAGTCTCTTTCCCCTCCCTCTGTATGAGTTGAGAGGCTGAGGGGAAGTCTACTAACTATAGGGCAACTCCACCTGACGATTGTTGTCTTCTTTCAATAATGCTTTGTTGGTCACCGCAGCGAGGCATCGCTGATAACATCGCCTGTTGTACAGTTGCTTTAGCCTAGGAGCCAACCTAGCTAAGGTTCACTCCTTTTTCATTTTATTTCCTTGAGAATGAAAAGTCCTCATCCTCACCCGCTGCAAGCACTTTTTCTTTGTTTGTTTGTTCTTTGTGCGAGTGAAGTCCTTCTCTGATTCATAGTGGGACCCGCTGTTCATTAATAGGGCTTCTTCCTTTTCTATCTATTAGGAACTGCTTGTAGAAGAAAGAAGATCAGGCAGTTTACTGCTAAATGGGGCTAGGAACTCCTATCCCTCATAGCCCAAGGAAGGGAAGGGCAGTAGCTTGATTACTTGACTGCCAGTTCCAATGTCACCTCGTTCTATCTATCTTCCATCCGTTACCTTGTTCTTCTTGCCACTGGGGCTTCAACCTTTCCATCATTTCCTGCGATCGAGCTAGCTTAACATCCTTCTTAAATTAAAGCATGATGCTGCTATTCTGCTCGGCGCATTTCTTAGGGATTTTCCCTTGGTCAAGTAAAGGACCAGGTACTTGAGTACAGAGGTCTTACATAGCTCCGTGACCACAGACTGAATCATGAGCTAGGAGGAGTACGAGTGATTAGCAGGAATCTTCGATTGCTCGTTCGCTAAAGTCCTGCTATACGCAATTCAAGCTGCCTGTTGATTCAGTACGTTCCTATCCCGTCATTTGGGGAGTTTGATCAATCTTCCTCACCCCTATAAGCACTCTACCTGGCATCCTTCCTTCTTCGTGAGTTCGTATGAAACTGGTGACTAAGCCTTTTCCTTCTGCCTTTGCTACCGCCGCCTTCTAAAGAATTTAATCCTTAAGCTGGATAGCCTAAAGGTTAGGCTTAGTTAGTTAAGAGTAATCCCCCCTTGCCTTTGTTTGAGAGCAGTCCAATACCAGTTGATTCATTAGCAATGGTAGCAGGAAAAAATCCACTATGCTTTGAGCCAGTTATTCATTCGTTAAGGCTTTTTGCCGGCTCAGATGCTAAGATAGGAAGCACTTCTTTTCCATCGGGTGTGACTGAACTACCTTCCCAGAACCCAGAGCATAGCCTTAGACTGATTTGATTCGTCTACCCTTCGTGCCTTCCCTTCTCTTCTTGCCTGGGATAAGTTGAATCTAGCTAATTCGATTTGATCCGATCATCTCTTTCAATCACTGAACACCAACCAAAAGAGGCACTCGCGGCACTAAAACTATATTAAACCTTCTACGCCGCCTCCCATCTCAGGAGGACTTGCTTCTTAGTGCTCCGTTGGACGGGGACTCCTTCTTCGTTTGAATGCTTTGATGCTGTTAATTTCGCCATGATCTACTATTTATAGACAGACGATAGCACCGAAGAAAACCGAGTAAGGTCGACTAAAGAGTATTGACTCTATTACTGCCAAGGAATAGAGGGATTTTTCAACCGGGAGCTGATACGCCCTTCATTGCTAGTAGTGCACTCAATTCGCCAAGGAGCGGGGGAAGAAGAGCTTATTCTTATTCAATACTAGCTGACCCAGCCTATCCATCTCAGTTGGCAAGTCGCATCCCGTGCTTGGGTACGAAAGTAGGCGAACTGATTGATAGATATTCTTCGGATTTGCTGCCTCTACGCCCCTTCTGTTCTTCAGGAAACCTATTTTAGTTCTTCCTACCACCGGGAAGGTTGGATATCTAAAATAGTGCATCTCCTATTATGATTATGATTTGGGATCGGGTAAAGTTAAATATCTTATCACTCTGAATCAGGCCTTTTTTGAATATGGATATCTTTCGATGAGCTCAGATTTAGACATCGCTCTGAGTTTTGACCCCTAGACTGGAACCTAAGTAGCTCATGGTTGAGAAAACCGGTCCTATCTTGAGGAAGCAGGATAGGAAGATGCCCGAAGTGAGATAAACAGCCTAGCAAACTCTTTCTATCTAAGAGCCTTTCTCTCCGCTTTTTCTTGAGTGGAGTATGTATGCTTAAAACACAGGATTTGAATCGGGTTTTGGGCGAGACTGCACCATCAAGATCAAAATTGGGGTCATCACCTCTGTAGTGTTGTGAGCTAGGTCTCTGGAGTCACTCTGCCTGGATACTCCTCAAGGCCTCAGTTGATTGGCAAGCTGGCTGACCGTTCCCTCTCTACCTGCTTTATCTCGAGAGCATGGAGCTTTCGGTCTTAGTTTCCTCATCTCCTTCTCCCTTATCCTTCCGCCACTGGCTCAACGAATTCTAGTAATTTGTTCTAACCCAAGTGTGGACTCGTTCCTAACGCCATAACAATTATATTCCTTTCTTTCTCCTCGTACAAGCAATCTACCCCTATGTCTGTCTGTACAAATGGCCCTAACATTGCGTTCTAAGCGCCAATCTCGATTCTCCTCGCAGTTCTCCCTTTAACCTCTAATCAAAAGTCTAGCTGTCTGCCTCTTTGTCGTACTAGGGGCTATATTCTTACCATAAATAAATCTTATTTTCATAAATCAGTCTCATGTCTCCATCTATCTCCTCGCAGTGTCCTTTCTACCCTCAAACCTAAGGCTCGGTCAGTTCACCTCTTAGTAGGACTTGTGATTGGGCAAGTAAGGTCTAATAGCCGCTACTGGAAGTTCTTTGTCCTTTCAGCAAGTCTCCGGTCAAAAAAAGTCCCAATGGGCTCTATCTCACCACCTCCTCCCTCCCTACTGCCAGTCGCGTAGGAGTAGTCTGGGAACCTTCAAAAACCTTCCCCTCCAGTCCGTCCTACCGTTACTCATTTCCCTAAAATGTTCAGATTCCACCTCTGTCACTGCGTACGTTTCCAATTTATTGGCACTGGTTGGTCTCCTGCTATATCCGCTTCCTTTAGTCTTCGCCTTTAGATAAGATAACAAAAAGTGTCCGTTTATTTAGGCATCTTAACTATTCAAAAGCTTCCTTCTCCTTGCTATGGTTACGACAATCTTAGGGGTCAAGCTTCACGGCGTACGTCCGTCTAATCCATGTATGTCTAACGCCATTTGCTGCTCCAAGTAGGGGGGCAAAGCAGGTCCTATGGTTAGTGGCTTAGGGGCATTCTTTTTTTCATAATTGGGCTTAATAAACTTTAACAAACTTCCAGATCTGTTACGCGATTGCTGTTCAGCCGGGCCGGAACTCTTGGTCCGAGGAAGGGGCCGACTTTCTTCTCGCTCCTCTCCTTTCAGTCGAGTGGCTATCGCTCCTCTTTTGGCTTAAGAAAGATGGGGTGAGAATGAGGATCACTTCGGAACTCTAGGAAAATGGGCGTTTTAGGGCGGGATCTAAAAGTTCTCGTGTTGGTTGCGGAGCCTTCAAAAAGGCCGTGAGAGGGTCTTTTTTTGGCTTCCTCAGGGCCGTGTGAAGCTTAGCTTGCTTTAGCAGCCACGTGATGATTCAAGATTCGTGGTAGGCGTAGGAGCTGGGCGAGGCGGTAGCGAAGCTCAGGTGGTGATGCAAGTGCGCGGTGAGCGTAGTAGCCCCTCGGGCATGCTCTTTGTACAACCAAGCGAAGAGCTAGTGAGGGCCGGAATGGAATATCGTATGTAGTGTAGAATCGGATCTGAAGCTCTTTACTAGGATTGGAACAAGCGAGGAACGAGTGACCACAAGCTCCGGCGCTCGACATGCAGTTAGCTTAAAACATGTTCATCATGTGCAAAGAAAGAGGAAAGGGGCGAAGCGCACCTGCGTGAAGCAGCCTAGCATCACTTTAGATAGGAGCAGAATGGATGACTGACAACTGAAAGTTCTTCGGATCGATATCTCGTACGACGTAATGGAGATCTTGGTCTAGGTCCGGTGGTTCGCAGAATTCGGGACCTAACGATGTTCGATTCGTCACATGAACGGGAGCGGACGATTCCCTCGTCTCTCCCGTTCATGTTTCGGGGAATGGCTGCAATCACAAGCAAGTGATTGAATGAGTGGGGGGCTCCGAAAGCACATGCGGGATAAGCAGGTCTTTCAGGAGACGGTCTAAGGGTCCGGTCTAGAAAGAAAAGAGAACTCTCAACAAGCTGGAACTAATCAAGATCAATAGGAAGAGGAGTTAGCTATAAATGAATTTTTTGACAAAGTTCATGCCACGACGATCTATACTATATGGAAGGGCTTGTTGATGCATTCCTGTTGAAGTTGAAAAAGAGACAAACATGAGTCTTTCATTCCTCCTCCCGGATCTGCTTGGATTATCTTATAATAAAATAAGAGGAGTTAGCTATTCTTAGGAAATGACTGAACTTAAAAGAAAGATGCCACCCCCTTTCATTAGGAGGCGAGGGAGTAACTTGTCTGATCTTGCGGTGCACTCACTCCCGTTACGAGAATGAAATGACGCCCCAGCTCGACTCGAGACCAAGACTCCTTACAACTCGCACCAATAGTGAGCGGCCGGAGATTGATTGAAAAGGCAGCCGCCCCTCCCCCCTAGCCGCCTACCTACTCGTGCTCGTAGCTCGATCGGAGGTGAAGACTTTTGTCCGGCGGAAAAAGAGAAGTCGTCCGTCTCAAGTGATACGTTAATTGCTCAGTAGTGCTTCGCCACTACCGTAGCTGGCGGAAATAGCTTAATGGTAGAGCATAGCCTTGCCAAGGCTGAGGTTGAGGGTTCAAGTCCCTCCTTCCGCTCTTGGCTTCGTCGTTTAGTGGTAACGAGTAGAGTAGGCATCGCCTCTCGATCCAATCCGTCTTTCCCTGGCCTCCCCAACACACTCTTGATACGAAAGAAACCTCCCGCCAATCGGAATCGGATTCGGAAAGAGAAGAAAGAGATCTAAAGTCTGGGCATCATCCCCTCGATCACCCTTCCCTTGAACCGGAACTGGTCGAGAGAGATGAACCCGCACCACATTTTATAACCTTCGAACCGAAAGCCCCAACTAGAGATGGAATTCCATAACCTAAAAAAGTAAATTGAGAGCTCCCGGTTCAATTCAAGGGAAGGTCCACCAATAATGGAAAGGCCATTCCCCTCCCTATCCCTTTCTTGATCCCTCATTCCACGAATTAGTTTTTACTGATTCATTCAAGGACTGAAAGCTTTTCGTTTTATGAAAAGGCATAGACTCCCCACTTCTTTGTCTTATTAGCGCAGGTGTTCGTCAACGATGAAAGCCGCTGAACTTAAGATAAGACTCGAGTTGAGAAAGAGGGCTAGGCCAAGGATAGGAGGGCTTTCAGGGACTGGGGAGGGTGGATTATAGAGCTAGGGGCGGATCAGAGGTTTGTCCATTGGGATTGGGCATGGACGAGCCTCGACTGGGCCAGCATTGATGAAAAAAAAAACTTCTCCCATCGCATCATTAACCGGTGTAGGATTAAAGATCAGGTCCAGGATTCGAGTCAAATCGACCTTCCCTCTCATCTCAGGGTGAGGCAAGGTAGCTTGCTCAAATGTTCGTTGTTCAATATCTCGGCTGCTCAATTGGACTAGCTGCTCCCATTCCTCAAATAAACGACGGAGTGGACTCCCTTCTAGGGGAAGGGCAGAGCCTCACCTTGCAGTAGGAAGGTTTTCGTTGCTGGGACGGGTTCAGAAGGGAGGAGGAATGAAAGACTCCGATCTTACTGGGGATTCATCACTGGCTAGGGCTTTCTAATCAAAGCATGGGCATCTGCAACTAAGAGGGAACAGTAGATCGTCGATGGAAGAGCCAGGTCAGTCAACTTCTATTGGGACTTCTATTGATTATTGATTCGACTAGAGGGACTCCTAGCAAGAAACTTGTATGACGGGGCCCCATGGAGACGCAGGAGATGCAGGAGTGAGATAAACAGCCGGATCGACCAAAAAATGATAGGCCAGAGGGATGGGCTCATTCGACTAATTAGTGATCCCTGGCCCTACCTAACAAAGAGATGTCCCTAAAAAAAAATAAGAGGGGATTGGTTGATCGGAAAGCTCGGGCAGGAGTAGGACATTCCATAAAAATCTTTCTGATCCGCTAGCTCTCACTCCTTGCCCTATTCGGTCAAGCAGCTTAACTCCTCTCACTATTTTTTCATCGACAGGTAGGGTGAATTCTAAGGTTCCTTATTCCGGTTCCGGTTGTAAAGCGGAACCGGAAGAAGAGGGAGAAAGAATGGGCACAGCCCCACCAGCAGCCCGCGTTTTCGACCCGAAAGGAATTGAAAATGAAACAAGAATCTGTGTTCACTATCTATGGAGCGGAGTGACTATCCTGAATCTCCTCTTCCCTATCTCCCCCTTGCCTTTTTTTCTTTTTCTCGCCGGCAGGTAGTTGACTTGCTTACTTGTTAGAGTAAGGAGAATCCATTTATTTATTTCTGATTGATCTGTAGTTCAAGGGCACTCTTCCTAATCCGAGTTTAAGATGGAATAAGACCCAGACGTAGAGTCCCGTCGGCCGGTAAGGGATTTTTTCTATTGATTTTTGATTCCCTTCAGTCCTTACCTTTAAATAAGGGATTCTTCTCTTTCCCCACGAGGTCTTCAAGCCAGATGGAGTAGTGCATCTCTGTCTTGAAAGCCCGCCCTACAGATAGGAGTTCCTATCTCTACTGCCTATCCAACCCGAAGATTCTTATTCGTGGTGGAGTGCTTCGAGTAGGATCCGACCCCATCCCAGCAGTCAAAGTCCTTCCTGACCCGGCTCACCTGCCTCTGAAGCTTGAATGCCTTTATAGAGGAGGCTACCCGAGGAATCGATAAGTTTGAAGTGGGATGTGGAATGTGATTGGTGATGGATGGTGGTTATTAAATAAGTTCTGCATCAGATGATGAGCCCGTGCGAAAACTTTTTCTTTTATTGGCGCCCGATAGGTAGGCTATTCGATTGAGTCGAAAGCCTACCAACGCACGCATAAAGGTTCCGCGATTCGAGCGAGAGCCCAAACGGGGGAGGCGAGAACATCTTGATCGAAAGCTCCACTTTTCTGAATAATGAGAAAGAAAAAAATTCGATAAAATCGATCGAGAATCTTATCATCTGTTAGGTAGGCCAACCGACCTAGTTTTGTTGGGCTGGGCGTCCATGTCACAGAACCTTTCTTCTAGCCAAGAATCCCATTATTGATCGAATCGGGGCGGATCTTCCTCTCGCAAGCCTTTGGATTCACCATCCTAACGAGCTCTTTTTTTTTTTTCCATACAGTAGCTAGTCTAGTAAAGCATTAGATGGTTCCCCAAGGGCTCAGCCTTTGATTACAAGTATAGCTTAGCTCATAGCCTCCTTACCAATGTGAGGAGGCAAGGCGGTAAAGCGTGACCGTTCGGAAACCTCTAAGTGGGCCTTCCTACTTTACATCATTAAATACAAAGGCAAGGTAGAATAGCATCAGTCAAGCTCTCACAGCAGGAACGGTGCCGATTCCCATTCTCATTCCTTAGAAGCCGGAGCCCCCCTGACAACTGTCTTTGAGTCCGTTCACTCCTCACTCTACTAAGACAGGGTAAGTGATTATGGATATCCTACTTCCGGTGGGGAGACCGTAGACTGAACTGAAACCCACACTCTTTCTTGTGTGTAATGAGTAGCTACTAGTTAGAATGAATTCTTCTCGGTCTTTCAGACCAACTCCTTTTATAAGCTCTTCTTAAACCATAGGGCAGGTTTGGAACCCTAACTAACTAATTGCTTTTGTTCCGCCTTCTCCACTTGACTCCACTGGTCGATAACTCTACAGCTTCATCCGAGATCCTTCCCAAATGAACATCCTAGCCCAGTAACAATATCTTATCTTCCCTGTTGAAAGCCTAGAAAATCGGATCAATTGATAAATAGAAATTTATGAAGACGATTTTCCTCATCTTTCTATCGTTGTGCTGTTCTACCCACTGCTTATCGATAATGAATAACTTTAATTTAGTTTTTGGTAGGGCTTTTCCCCATTGCCATCCCTTTTTCCAATTCCCTACTTATTATTTATATACTCATATAAGACTTCTATTCAGACATGATGGATATTGAAACCAGCAACTTCTTAGGAGAGTAGCTAGACTGAGTTCCACTTCTATACTCCAGTTTACCGAGGGCTAATGGCTGGCTTCTTTGTCTAGTCGCAACTTTCAAACTTAGCCTAGCCGATTGGCTTTGTTTTGTTCCTGATTACTGCCCTAAAATAAAATCAAACTTTCGTTCAGTGACATCACAAGGGTTGGTTTGAACGCTTAGGGCAATTGGTAGGGGTCATCCGATTCCGAATCCGCGCAAGAGCGCTTCTTCTTTTGGTCCCTATGGCTGGTAGGGGTAGCATTGACTATGTTCATGAGCCAATCCTTTCTTTGGTTCTTTATAGCTGATAATCAGTATAAACTCAGGGGGTATGAGTGCATGATTCTTTCTCTTCTTCCACAAGCTTAGAGAAAGAGACCGAAGGAGGATATGAAAAATCCGCGGATTCCCTAAAGCTAGAGCAGCTACTTCCTTAGAACTGCTCCGAGATGGTATTCAAGAAAAGCTCACTAGCAGAAAAAGGGTTTTGAAGAAGCCGACATTGAATTTACTACCTAAACTGCCTTTCTTTCAAGATCAAGATACTACTACTACTCCTATGATTTCATTACAGGGAAAGGAAGTTAAACCTCTCAAACTCGGAAAATAAAAATCGAATCTTTCTTGACCAGGAGCAATAGACCCCGAAAGGTGTGAAGTTAGTGCCTCCGCTTCTGAAAGAGCTGCGGTTATAAAAATTCCAATTGAGTTTTGATTCGCTGCATCAATGAATGTGCTTGCAGAGTGGGGAACTATAAGCATAACAGCTCTTGAAAAAGAAAGGAAAGAACTACTCTTGATGCCGAAAATCCCATCTTTTTTTGTAATTAAAGTGAACCTATAACTTTCTACCTTAGTGCCGCTGTTGGAACTGCAGATTCTTTATGACTGGACGGGTACGACCTCTTGCTTCTCAATGTCATGGAATGGATAGGTGATGTTTCCAACCGGAAAAGACGATAAATCAAAAATTATAAAAATAAGAGCGGGTGAAGGAGTTAAGTTAGAGATCTCTTTCTAGACCTTGAAGTCACTTCCGGGATTAGCTTGATTTGGGCTAGGAAATCTTTTTATTTGTAGCATATAAAGTGAACCCTAGACTCTTATGGTTAGTTTATTCCGCATCCTCACCATCTAATTAAAACTCATTACCGACTGCTGCAACCTTTGCCGGGAAAGAAGAAGGAATTTAATCCAAACCCCTAACTCGATAAAAATTCTTCATCTGCACCTGAGACAAGTAAAGGATATCCCACTCCGGTAAGCTAGCAAATAATATAGAAGATTCTAATTTGATAAAGTTATTTAAAAAACTAATAAAGTTCTCTTCGATTCGAGTCGAGTGCATAAGCCGCTTTCCCTTTAGGAATCTTGTCTCAAGCCATTGATCTTAGCTTTGGCCCTATATGGAAAGGAAAATCTTTAAGCTTCCCTCTTTTTTCTGCCTCTCCAGTTCAACAAAAGGATTCTTTCTTCTGGTTTACCAAGATCTTAGTAATTTCACCTCTGTACTTTGATTAAGAGTTCAAAAGGCAAGGATTAGGATTTTTTTTTATATGTGAATAGGTCCCTTAAACTAACCTATCCATGGGATAAACCCTCTTAGTTTATTTCCTAAAGTAGTCCTTCTTGAAAGAAAAGATTTTTGAGTTCTTTCACTCCCGGCTGTTTTGTCTTATTCGTTGATCAGTTTTCTTCCTTCCTCGGAAAAAAAAGACCTAAGGTCAGGAGGATAGTTCCCACCTACTTCTTGCTTGAGTTGAATCAGCTGAGAGTTCAAGCTTTGATCTCGCAATATGTAACGTAGGAATGGAAATCCTCACACTCTTTAGGAGTGAAGCCCTTATATCAGCTTTCCTCCAAAACCGGACCGGTTATTGATTCAATCACAGCTTATACAACTCGCAACTCGGTAATGAAATGGTCGCCATCAGCCTGAGATCAGATCAAGGTTATCGAGATTATCTTTCTAGACCTTTCGAGGATTTATCTAGGCTAAGCCAAAGAGAAGAGGTATCAACCGGGTTTAATAACTTAGGATGAGAATTCATATAAATTTTACATCGGCCACATATTCTGTAGGTGTTGACCACCTTTATTCGTATAGTCTCGTCAAGGTAAAGTAGGGATGTGGGAAAATAACTTTCTTCTCTTCCACCCATTTTTTTTTATTAGATGACCGAGTCGAAAGAACTAGTTTCTTTTCTTTTCTTAAAAAAAAAGCCAATCATCGAAGAAGAAGTTCCCCCGCTTTCAATAGAAGATGAAGGGTGGAATGATGAATTGGCAGAGTTTGCTTTACCTACTTTAGGTCTTAAATCCCAGAAGAAAAATTCTGGATGCTGTCAGAGTTCCCGATGTCCCATATTCATATTATTAGATTAGTCTTTGTCTTCTCTTGGTTAAGATCTGTAACTCTTAGTGGCTTGAGTAAGCAGATATTAGAAGCTCTGTAACCCTTGGATTTTGTCCTTCCGCAGTGGAAGATTAGGCTAGTTCAGTTACTTCCGGCCGGGGTCAACGAAGGTCTTAAGTGGAAGGAAGAAGTCCTTTTAATCTCCCATCCGCATATTCACAATAATAAGATTCCGAATTATAAGAAAAGAATGCCTTTGCCCGAACCGATACAACTGAGAAAAATGAAGAGATGAGGAAAGGACTTAATCTAAATCACCTCACCCTCTACATCTTTAACAATTACTTACGGCTGAGGAATTCTTGGAACGGAACTCTTTATAATTCCAGCGTCCGTCAAGCTCTTAATAGAGATGGGAATGCGAAAACAAAGAATCTATTTATTCTTATAATTTTTTAGGTAGAAGTGGAAAAGAACTCGCCTAAGGCTTCCAACTCCAAGAGGCTCACTATTGCTAATGTGCGGCCCGAAAAGAGTAATAGAATCCCAAACCAAAGCTACGTCGGACCGGACTTTTCTGCTAAGAGGTCGTCACTTCCTAGCCTTCCTACCTAACTTGCCTTCAGAGCTTTATTCATTCGATAATGATTGTTTAAGATACCTTTTTTTCTCCGGTAAAAGGTAAAAAGGAGAGGCAGCGGATAAGATTTACACTGGAAATTAATAAGCTAGTTTACTTCTATTCTCATATGGTTTTTTCTCTTGTAAATTCCCTTGTCCCCTTCTTACTATTGATTCTCTTCCTTCAATGTGAAAAAAATAGGATTGGATTGATGGACAGAATCCTTTCATTCTTCCACGGTCTTCTCTCTCTTTCCTATTGCTATTGGGATCCCTTTCATATTCATATTCAATAAATAGATTGCCTCTATCCATTTATCCCTCTCTACTTCAAAGGGCGGGGAGGTAGGAAGGAGGGCCCGGCCCGTACTCTAGAGCGTTTTTGACTTAGTGTACAGGACAGTGGTATGCGTGTCAGGGGATCAAATCTATCAAGGTTTTTGGCTCGCAATAAAACTAGGCCCCTGATCGAGCAACTAGGAATCCTATCTCTCTCGAGTCAAAACAACGGCATTCAAGCCAAGCCCAGGGAGCAGCTTCACCTTCTCTCCTCCGCAGGCGTGTCCATTCCAAATCCAAAAGCAGTAAGACCCCGATACAACAAAAAGACAATAAAATTTAGTTACCTACACCTAATTCCAGACCGGTTAATGCAAGAACTATAAAAAAAAAAATATTTAAAGAAAAAAGCCATGACCGAAGGAGACTACAACCTAGTTATGATATGAAGACCGGCACCCATTGATTTTCTACCTTATAACCTCTTATTGTAAGGGCAACCCCAGTAGCCGACGGAATTAGTCATCGGTTAAATGTTAGTAGAATTCACGATCTAATTCAGAACGGTTACGGTTTTGGTCTAGGTCGGTAACCAAAGACTTAAGATAATTAAGATTTTCATCCATTATTAAGCGCTCTTCTAGTCTTAACGGATACTCAAGCGAGTTAAAATTAACAGGGGAAACCTATCCTGAATGAAGTGATAGGCCTCCTGCCTTACATCTGAATAGGGCGATATCTCCATAAAGATTTAGAGCAAGATTCTGCTCATTAAGCATCAGATTGGTAAGTCTATCCTGAAGGAGACCTTTTCGCTCTAAGATTCGAAGTTCATTGTATTCCCTATAAAAAATGGTCCTGTAGAAATCATCGCCTAGAGCTCGAGAAAAAGACAAGTGTTCCCGCACTAGCCTTTCGTAATCACCTTGATTATTCTGAGGAGGGAGATTAAAGTAATCGCGGGACTCAAGAATTTTAATGCGTTCATAGATTTCATATGGATTATGACTGAACGTTTCCAAAGACTCAGAACTCGACGACGATTCCAACTCCAACGCCGGGAGATTGGAACTGCCGGCGCCGTTGTCGAAAGAGCAAATCCACTCAAAGTCCAGAGGCTGAGACCCCATAGCCACAAGTAAGTAAAAATTGACTATATATATGAAAGAAAGAGAGTATGAAATTAATATAGAGCCAATAAAGCACAATTAACACAATAAAAGTTTTTAGGGTTTGGGTCAGATCAGAGTAATTATTTTTTTAATTTCTTTTTCAATTCATTTGACCTCGAGGTAAGGGGGAATGCCGCAAAACAAAAGGGGAATCCATCAAGGTTTTTGGCTCGCAATAAAGCTAGGGTCCTGATCGAGCAACTAGTAGTCCTATCTATCCACCTCTCCAGACACAATATCTTGAGTACCTATGATGGTGACCACATCTGCTGGCATGTGATGTTTGGACATAGAATCGAGTCCTTGTGAATGGGCAGAGCCAGGTGCTCTTATTTTACGACGGTAGGGACGATTGCTTCCATTACTGACCAGAAAGACACCAAATTCTCCTTTAGGTGCTTCAACTGCGGTATAGGTAGAAGGAGCTGGTACGGAAAAACCTTCTGTATAAAGTTCGAAATGGTGAATTGAGGTAGAGTAGACCGATGATCCTGTAGTCATTTGGCCGGCTATTGAAAGAAAAAGCTTGCATCTGCTCTCCCAGGGCTATTATATAACCGGTCCGATCTCTCTCCAAACCTAACGTGATAGTTTCCCATCATAGGGCTTTATATCTATAGATTGAGCCATTACCAAGGAGCTAATTCGTTCAGAACTCAGTTGACTGCTTCTATAGATAAGGCGGAGCGTCCTTGGCTCAGCATTATAGCACATAGGGCTTCGGCGCTACTACAGCGCTTCGCTAACTCGAAGCGCCTCGCTATGAGAATCTAGCTTCGCTAACGCTCGGCTAAGTCTTGAACCTTCGCGCGTTCGCTTTCTCAGTAGCAAAAGCGCTTCTATTTGCCCCTTAAGTAGAAGGACAAGAAAGATATTTTTTCTTTAATTGCTCCCGCCGCTTCCTCGCATCTGCGCTCGTCAAGCCAACTTAGCTTTTTTGGAGGTGAAACTGCGGTTGAAGCGGACATTTCGAAATGACAGCATCGAAGATTTATATATTATTTATTACACGGTCACGGTTATCCCGGACTGCGTTCCGGAAAAAGTGGCCTACTTGAAATGAAAGAAAGGGCGAGCACTCTTGTCTTTCAACCCCACTATCACTAGACTATTCATAGTTGTGGGGCACAGTGTACTTACAGCCTCTACGATAAGCAAGTGAATGGGGCCGGTGCGTGGCGAACGGAACGGTTCATCAAGCCATTTCTCGCCTCAACCCCCTAAATAGGAAGAGGGGTACTTTTTAAAGAGGGGGTAATTGCTTCGCACCTGACTGTGATAGCCCTCTCGATACCTTATTGGAGCTTTGTAACTAGTGGCCGCTTTCCCGTCGCTAGAGCGTTTTCCCAGTGCTTTTTAAGAGCCCCAATTCGGAATCGGAATCGGAAGGTGTTAGTGGTTTATCATTGGGTCAATAATGCTAATCCCTCTTTTTGTGCTACTCCTACTCCTAGGGAGGGAAGAAGATAAGAAAACGCGAAGCGTTCTATTGGTTTCCCAACTTGTTGCTTCTAAAGGCTGCCCTCTCTCGGCTGGATTTTGGTCCAGCCTACTACGAGGATCCCGTATCCAGCAACCCAATCTAAAAAAAGGGAAAAAAAAGGCCTTGTCTAGGTTGGAGCTATGAAGCTGACCTTCATATTATGAAAAGGCCCCTTACTATAGTATAGATAGGCGAAGGTTTGAAGACGCTCGACCCTTCTATATTATATAAATAATTAAGGCAAGCAAGGTAAACAAACCCCCACGCCTCCTATTTCTTAAGGGGGGGCTTTTCTTTGACGAAAAAAAGAAAGCCTCCATTACTAATAAAGTGCTAACGCGCACTTCCGTTTTCCCTTTACTAGTAGGGGTCCCGTGGTTCCTATGCCGCCGCGTTTCCCGGTCCTTTTCTTTTAGTGCTTCGACCCGAAGCGATAGCTTCTAGCTAGTTCAGTGGATAAGATGGCTGCGCTCCAGCTCACTCAAGAATGGGACGGCAGTGGTCCGCCGGCAAGCTCGTTCTGATCTTGGACGCAGTACATTGGAATCCTGAAGCACCACCACGAACGCTACCGCGCGTTCGCCTGCGGTGCGGTAAGGCACCACCCTGTTGTGCCAGCAGCCAACTCCGGCGTGTCAGCTTAGTTATCCTCATCAAGCCACTTACTTGATGTCTAGCTTGCCAACTGGTAGACGGTTCCTTTTCCCCCAGATCAATGAAGAAGGGAGAAGTAAGTTTATTCTTCCGATTCCGAAGAACCGGAAGCGAAGCGCTATGCCGGGGCGGGGGGACGGGAAAAGAAAGGGCTCCGAAGAAAGAAAGGGGGGTTCCCAATGCTTCTCCACGCCCAACGAGATGCGCCAACCTCGGGATGCTTTACTCCTAACCCCACAAGGTTCCGAGACGGAGCTTAACCTGAGTCTCGGTTAAGAACGGCGATGATCTACGTTTCACACGGCGCACGATTCCATGGATAGTTTCATTCGACATCGTGATGGAGGACATAACTTACGATCATCGGCTTTGATCATGCCACTAGGCATTTGATTAGGACATTGCACAAGGATCCGAAGACTTTGTCGCATCTCTTCAATACGGATACAGTAACGATCATAGCGATCTCCTCTGGTACCTACTGGTACGTCAGGATCCGATTGGTCATGAACATCGTAAGGTGCTGCTCTTCGCGAATCCCAGCATACCCCTGGTTGGGATGGGTAGGCCCACCACTTCACTTTCACTTAGGCCTGGGCCAAGTCAGTGGGGGGACCCTGTCGGGCTCCTCCCCCCCAAAAAAAAGACAAAAACTGTACGTGATAGTTTCCCTTCATACGGCTCGAATCATTCTCAGATGCCCCGAGAGGCATCCTTTCCTTCTTTGTTGGGTTGGTTCACGCGCGCGCAAACGAGCACTGGCCGCAACAGCAGGGAACTATGACCAATAGAGTCAGACACTTAGCTACATCCGCACGCAAAAGGAATGTGGTTCTGGTTGAGGCTTTCTTTCCTTTATTAGTAAAGGGGGCTTTTAAGGACGTTCGCGGAGTCGGAATCCGTGCCTCCTTTACTAATAAAGACCACCACAGGACTGGTCGTTCTTGGGCGGATCCCGCTCCTAAACATAAGGGATAGGGGGAAGGTGGCCGGGCCTCTCATATCAAAAGGGTTGTAAAAAGAGAACCCGGCTACCTATTTCATTCGACGTTCCGCCCGCCCGATTCGACCGACTTTTTGATAACAAGAAGGCGGCGAGCTGATCTGCTTTGATCAAGGAAAAGGCCCAGTCAGCCACCAACTCGGTGCAGGTCAAACCTGAAGCTTGGACCTACAGCTCAGCTCGGCCTTCGCTTTTTGAGACTTCCTCTACCCACATCTCTATGTTAAGCAGCACTTCCATATGGAGAAAGATAGGCTTACCATGTTCCATCAATAGCACCTAACCTATGCCGATTTTGGCGGACTGTGCTCCACCCCGGTGAACTCATGCGGTTCCGACGTGCCCAGAGGCCAGAGGCGAATCCGTTCACGGTCCGTAGGACCAACACCATTCGAAGGTGGGTGGCCCGCCCCGCCTAGAACAGTCATTTTTGACTGGGCTTAAACACATTCGCTCACTTACGCTGTCCCCCCTCAGCTCACCCTAGCCCCGGGCCTTTTGCTCTTATAACGTAAGCTCCAAGGCTTCACACCAAGTCTTCACTGACAGAATATGCATGCTTAAGTAGGGTCAGGCAGAACCGTTGTTGCCTGATGGGAACTCTCCCCATATTGCTATAAATGTCTTCATGTCGCACGACCTCTTAACATTACACCACTGAATCCCCAATCCTTTGCTTGCTGTGCAGTGACAGTACCAATATCCACTAATCGTTGTTTCCAGATACGGTTGCCGGTTGACATCTCTTCTAATTCGTCGATACGAGAAGCAAATTGTTGTGTGAAGGAATCAATATCTCGACATAAGCCAAGAGGCAGATCTTGTGCCACTCCACCTGGTCGTATGAAACTGGCATGCATCCTGGCTCCCGAGACTCTTTCATAGAATTCCAACAATTTCTCCCGCTCCTCACAAGCCCACAGGGACGGAGTGGATGCTCCCACATCCATAGCATGAGTAGTTAAAGCAAGTGAATGATTTGAAATTCGAGTTATTTCACGGAATAACACTCGTATATATTGAGCTCGTAATGGTACCTCGCAATTCAAAAGTCTCTCTACGGCTGAAGAATGAGCGTGTTCTTGGGCCATCGTAGAAACATAGATAGGGTCGACGACGGAACGAAGAACTCACCCTAGATACAGCTTTTTCGTACACGTTCACTTGCATCACATACACAAGTGCTCTCTGAACCGTGCAATAAGGTCACCCATAACACGGCTCTCCCACTTGAGTTACCTTAGCCCCAGGCAGGCCATGCTATTCAATGATATATATTGGAAAAATGGCAGCGTAACGTAACAACTAGTATTGAAAGCTGGTCGCCTTTTGAGGGAGGGAAAGCCTTTCAATAGGAGCCCTACTTCCCTCTTCAATAAAGACCTCATCACTTCAAAGCGCAAACCAATTTCTTTCTGAGTCACCGGATCCGTTTGGAAAGGAGCGCACCTTTGGTACTTTGCTTATAGCTTTTTTAGGTTATGCAATAGACGGGAGGCTTAGCTCTGGATCCCCCCTGCTTGCAGAAATTTATGGATCAGAAGGGGGGGCTGGCTTCTATTTCCGTGCCGGGGGGGAAAGGCCATAAGATAAGATTGCCCTCCCGGCACGGAAATAGAAGAGAGGAAAAGGGTGCTGTCATCTATCTCGACCAGTTTCCCGAGGCGTTGAAAATCCAGACCGGCTCAGAGAATCACTGGCGCTATTTAGCCCTTCGTTTCGCCATTCGAAGTACTACCTCTGCCTTCCCTTTTTGTAAAATACCCAGGCGCCCTCCTTTCCAATCACTAAGAAAAAAAAAAAGACCAATCAAAGCCCTATCTAAGTAAAGCTTCGTCTGTTATTTTTCCGGCCCCAGGGGAGTTTACTCAACCCATTCCCCAGTCTTCCGCACTGCTCAAGTCAGTGTGCGACTCCGTATGAGGACCTCCTTCCCTTCTGCCCACTCTCCGTTCACACGGTTCTCAAAGCAGAGGAGGAAGGGTGGGCAGCAGGTACCACGAGCCCTCTGTCCCACACATCTATCCAGAAGCAAGTGTAGTTCACCGGTTCCACCGAATGCTCCTATCTCTCGGCAAAGATCGTGTGAGTGTGCAGTTATGCTTCGGATGCTTCGCCATAGAATAGATCGACCCAGTTCCCGTTCTTTTCCGGTGCACTCGCTTTATATCTCCGACACACAAGGAAGGACGCGGTGGGAAGGAAGCAGCCCTAGCCTCTGTCCGGCCGATCATTCCGCTGGCATCTTGCATTCACGCCTCCTTTTGACTGCCGCTCGGGGATGGAGTTGTAGATACGTGAGTCTTAGCGGATCGTTGGCTCCACCTGTTATCTCCTTCTACGACATGCTGTTGTCGTCGCCATCTTCCATATGTAACTTAGTCATCTCTGCCTCGCTGCGGGTCAGCACCTCCGAAAGAAACGGAGGACTTCATTCAGTGACTCCGCGATCGCCCTCTAAACGATCAGAATAAGGTAAAGCTTGAAGATAAGTTTTGTACTCTATTAATTTCTCAGTCCCTCTAGTCGGGTGGGCGCCGGCCGGTCTTTCGACCAGATCCCCCTAAAAACCGTACGTGCGGGTCTCCCCGCATGCGGCTCACGCCATTCGAGGTGGCCCAGCCCAGCATTCATTCGCAAATCCTGTAGTTAAATTGAGACTGCTCGACCTCGGAAGCTAATTCGCGTGTAGGCAGCGCTGTCTGTCGTACCGTTGACTCTATCTATTCATTGAATTCACTTTCATTCATTTTTTTATAGGCTCGCTCCCTATTTTTCCAAGAATTAATGCACTTCCCCTTGACTTCAGAGGGCCTTCTCTAATAGGGGAAAAGCCTTCCATTTCCGTCAAATGACCCGGCCCCCCCCTGGCTCTTCCACCGTCCAGGCTCCCTTTCCTACCTATGCTATGCTCCCCCGGCACAGGCCTACCACGCTTCGCGCCTGCGGCGTTTTCGCCGGACGGTCTTTGCCAGTAGTGCCATCCTCCCCGCTGGCTGTATGGGCGGGTTGTCCCTCGCTGCTGCGTTCTGTTAGGCTGTGGATTACAGGAACAAATGTAGTTGAATGAGACAGCAGGCGGGTTACACGTTCCGCTGTGCCGAGATGTGAGGTGCAGGTGGTGATGATCACCCCGGGGTATGCGCTAATGAAAGCCCTTGACAGGCACTCCAGGACCCGCCAACGCTCATGAAAACCCGGGTCGGTCCTCCATTCATCTGACCGGAGGTGTGGATAACGAGGCCACCTTCACAACCTTCTCCCTTCTGTCCTTATGTTGTAGTAAGGTAGGGCGGTTCGCTTGAGTTGCTCAACCGCCCCTTAGCCCGGTGCTCATGACGCTCAGTAAGACCTCCACCGTGCCGGGGGACCAAGCAGGGCATAGCTAGCGGCATAGGAGCCGACTCGGCGTCAGCGGCTTCGTGCCGCACTGGAGTGATCCAATATGTGGTTCCGCACGTTCCACCACTTCTCCGTTCATTTCCAATACTGATCGTGAAACACCATGAGCAGCAGGATGTTGAGGTCCGAAATTCGAAGTGAAATTTTTGATTTGCCCGTTCCTAGTCGTCATGGGAAAAAAGGAAGAAAGAAGAAAGAGATTATTCCCTGAGAGCTTGTCCAGTACTACCCGTACCAGAAATGCATCTCCTTGCGTGCGAGAGACTTCTATGCCAGCCGTTATTCCCGGCTCTGTTATGAAAGAAAGCGGCAGACTAATCTTACAGGTGTTCCCTAATGAGGGATTTTAGGGGATTAGGGTTCTCCTTTATCTCCTCCACCCATCCGCGGAGGGTTTCAGTATCAATCTCCGCAGATATTTCCAGATCGCGAGAAAGAATGTTCTCTGCGACACTGGAATAGATTTCTTCCATTTCCGGAAAGTGAACGGAAAGCCGCCCTTTCCCCTTCTCACAAGATTCCCGAACTTGCTCAAGAATCAAAGTGTGAATGGCACTTCGAAGTGCCTCACGTTGGGGATCGGCGTGGGGAACTTCCACCGGTTCCTCTTCCGATTCCTCTTCCTCTTCCGATTCCTCTTCCGATTCTGGACTGGAGCCAGCGGGTTCTGAATGACCTCCCTCTGACGGTTAAAAAAGTGGTTAACCATCTCGAAAAAATCCATATCGTCCACCCGAAAAACGTGTCTCAACTACAGCCAACTAACTCCCCTTTTTCCCTATCGAAAAACCAACCCTACTTAATTTGTTCTAGAAATGCTAACCAAGTTACACACTGGGGCCATGGGTCATGAAAGAGGTTGACCCCCATCCCCCTTCACTATGTATGGCCAATGAACTCCTCGCTTTAGTCCGTTCTTTTCCTTCTTTGGGCTCGGGTCGATAGTAGCCGTGGTAGTAATGTCCCGGAGCCCGGCTACCGACCCGAGGCGCTGATCGGGAAAGTAATAAAATAAAGGGACGTTAAACGTAATTCTAGAAGGGCGTTACCACAACAAAAAAAAATCCGAGTCTTGGTAGTTTACTTGCTTACTTTTTATAGTAAGGCAGTTGAAGTTAAAGTTGATTAGACTAGTCCCACTAAGATGGCGGGGAAACTTACTTCCGAGAGAGCTGCTTTCGCCTCGGTAATTACCTAACGAGAGAGAGCCGATGCCAAAGTAGCCCTTTACGCGAGGTAACGCCAGACAGAACCTTCTGACCTCTGCTAACTACTTTTATATAGACTGGAAGCTAGAGAGAGACTATACTAAGGTATAGTGCCGCTACCAGAGAAGGCTGTTTCATGCTAGGCGTCCAGACCTACTACGCCCGAGCCGCATCCCCGGCACACTTGCTATATCCACTAAGGCTTCATCCCACTTCATCCTACCAACTATACCTTATATAAAGCCGTTCTATAACAATTCAAGACAAGAAGAAAGCAAAAGATTTGATCAGACCTTTTCTGATTTGGATTTCCATTTATTTTTCCTTCCATGGAACGGAACCTTATTTGCCTTCGCCTCAGTAGCCGCTTTTGCTTATGGTAAATCTGTATCCGCTGCTGTCTCCCCAGATACTTATGGTGGGTTTCAATAGATATATTTTCTAGGATTCCTAGGTCAAAGGGCTATGCCGCTATATATGCTACACCGAAGTATGCTCCTAGGTAAGCGACTGCCTTTGGATCCGCCTCTCGAGCACGAGGGTCGTATTCATAAAAGGCTATCATGAAGGTTTGCCTATGGCTCTGTATCTACCTCTGTCTGCTGGTGCTTCTTTTGAGAAGCTGCAGGATCAATGGCTGAAACTACTGCTTCTTCAACGCTTCTCCTGCGACTTGTTCTCCTTTCGTCCTTGCTCCTGCACGCACCTAAAGGTACAGTATCTAAACGCTCCTTCTGCTCTTGGGAAAGGGGGCCCAAGGCTCATCCTTATGCTTTCGGTTTTCGAGTTAAAAACAGAGTTGGGGAGACCCGTCAAGCTTTAGGATAGCTCTTTTCAAAATAGATTCTTGTAATAGAAGCTAAGCTTTTATACCGAATCGGGTTTGTTGATGGAATCATAGCCGGGCCGGAACTCTTGATCTATCAATAGAGGGTGAGAACTCAATCAGGAAGGACTGCTAGTCATCACCGAGGGAAAGCTTGACCAAGGAACTGCTGCTGAGAGCGATATACTTTCCAACTGAGATGGAGAGAATGCGCTCCTACTCTCTTTCAATCGCCGATGCTAAAACAAAGAGGGCGTAGACCCGAGGGGAGGTTGAGTCAGCAGCTAGTTTTGCCGGAATAGGAATCAACGATGCAATTTCATCTGTAGGAGGAAGGGCATTAGAGCAATAGACGGAATGAGTCTTAGTTTCAATATCCCCTGCTCTTTCTTGTTGAGTCGACTGTTCATGGCATGGTTTGGTGGGACCAAGAATTGCTCTTTTTCTCTTTGAAGGACCAGGAAGTTTTTGCATTGATGCCGGGAATACAAACTCTCTCTTTCTCTTTGAAGGAATCCGCATGGAAGGCTCTCGACCGGGTCATGGCATTGCTCTGGAGTGGAGCCGGGGAAGGAGCGAAGGGAAGAGGATTTAGCTTTGGCTTTGGTTCGCTTGACCGTATGACTTTTCTGTGGTCTTGTTCAAATAGAATAGGTCGTCCCCCTTTTGGTGCTATCACATAGCCCTAAGCAGGGCAAGGAAGGTCTCTAATCGACAACAAAGAGATATGCCAATTAGCGGCACACTTACTATAAACCGATTTTCGTTAAATCCTATAACAACTCTTATCTTAGTTACTCTTCTCAAATATCTTTAGGGAGTTAATGACTCTTGGGTATGGCGGAAGAAGAATAAGTAATTAATACTACTAGACTTTTAGCTTGAAGGTGGGCTTTAGTCTTTTAACAACCGATCTTGCGACATCAAGTTGTCAATCCCTCATAGGGGCATCGACTTTTTTTTTCAGTATCCCTTTTGAGCAGAGCGTCTTTCCTATCTCTCCAGGCTAGTCTCTTAGATAGCAAGTCAAAGGAGTGTTGTTCGAATTCTACACCATCCTCCGTCGCTGTCTGGAACGATAATTCATAAATTTGCATCCTCCCTTAGCCGATTGCTCACTATCAACCACTTAATCCGTCTCAGACATCTGATCCTCCTTGATAACCAGACTAACCACTTCAGGCTGCACAATAGAGATCGAGATAGCCTCGTAAGCATGATTCTTAGTCTCGTGGTTGAGATCCGTGAGCGAGACCCAAGCAGGAGAAGCAAAGGTAGAAAGAGCAGAAAGGCAGCATTCTTTCTCCGCTGCTATATCAAGATGATCTATAGCATCATAGATAGAGACAAAGCTACATATAGATGAATGAGGATCAATATCGTTCCCTCATGAAAGGTCAGTTCAAGAAGAATCGCAATATCAGTTGTTGGAATCTGCTGCTCACGAATGGTCTGCTTAAGCCAATAAGATCGAAAAGGCTATCTCCGAGTGGCAAGAAAGAGTGCGGCACTTTCCTTCAAGCAGGAAGGATGCAAAGTCATCCAAGGGAAAGCTAGACCTCGAGTGACGAAAGACGGGAGGGAATAAAGTAAACCGACCAGGCCTGGCCTTCAGCACCATCAGAGCTCCCATGTCGTCAGAAATCCAATCTGTGGTCGCTTCTCCTGCAACCGAAGAGGATGATCTCCTCTCTCGTAGCACCAAGAAGTGTAAACGCCGCTCATCGGGATATTTTTTTGGCTGTCATGATATGTCCCAGGTTAAATACATAGAACCTGTGGAAGGGATCACTAATGCCCCCCAATCCCAACTGGCCCAACTGGTTGGGGTGACATATCTTGAAAGGATACCCTTTTTTTAAGGAGAACCCTCCGATCGCTCGGATTCGGAATCGGAATCGGAATCGGATGATGAAGAAGAAAGGAGGCATGGAGGAGGCCAAGTCTGACGGAAGCATCTGCGGACTCAGAGAAGAAAGGTCCATGGCCTAGGGTCACTATCACCAAAGAGGAGTGCATAAGTTTATGGAAGCCCTGGCGTAGAGCCCTTATCAAGGACACATGCCAGACCTTGCGTAACTGGATCAAGCCTATACCGGCACCGACATCAGGATTTATATTTTCTGGAGCAACCTTAAAGAGGGAGACAAGTGGTTTCAAAGCTAGCCACGTAAACCATCAGCGTCAACTAATAATCCTAGTAAAAACAAGAAGACGGATAATTCACAATAGAATATGAGTCATCTTTTTCAGTCCCAAAGTGCGCTCTTCGACTCTCCAGCCCTTTACTTTATAGAACTGGCGACATTTTCTCATACCTTTGCTAAGCATGTCCTTGAGGGCCTCAATGACGTCACCCTCGTTGCAACAATTGGTGACATAGGGGGGATAGCCGGACAGATAAATTTGCCTTCACGGGGCTCCCGTAGGGTCTATTACACCAACATCAACTTAGGCAATAGCGTCTTTCACAGCTGATTCAACAACAGCCATTCTTCTTTTTTTATTATCCCGGGATCAGAAGCAGAAGGCTAGGCACCAAGGCTACGAAACTAGGCTATGAAAGCAGAGAGAACTCGAAACTCCTAAACCTAAGGCAGCCTTTCTCCTTATTATTTATCTTAAATAAAATCTAGCACCAGCCTAATCCAAGAATGTCGATTCTTCTCTTTCAAAAGACTTTGGCTATGAAAAGCAATCCGCCCAATGAGCTACGGCTAGATGAGCTAAGGCCAGGGGATTCCTCAGGAGTCAGCTTACCTTCTTGGTACCCTTACTCACCCAGTCAAGATCCAGAAAAGAAGGGAAGCTAGCCCCTCTTACTAAAAAAGGGGAGGACTTGGATTGTGATAGATGCAATTTATCAAGTCTTGATTGAGGGCTTTGCACTTCGCGGTCTCACCTCAAAAAGTAAAGGTTCTTTCTTTCAATTCAAACCGTTAGACGATAACTTGGTATGGAAAAGGGTTCTCCGCGTCGCATCGGTTTTTCATAGACCTAAAATGGCACCCCCCCTTTCATCTGCATCTGAAAACAGTGGTTAGGCCTTACCTGGACCTTCCTTCTTTTTGCATATCATCTCTGGCTTGCTTAGTCTACTATTGCATTTAAGTCGGCCCAGTGGCGGAGCTAACAGCAGAAAAGCCTTTTAAAAATTTTAGGGATAGTAAAATTCCGGATCGAAGAGATTCACCCGTAACGTAATAAGGGGGCAAAGCCAGAGGCAAGGCTATACCTCTATCTGTATGGGGGAATTTTTTGCTAAAGCTTCTCGATCCGGGAAGGAACTGCTCGCTACTACTACATACGATGCACTATTGAAAGGCTCGACCCGGCCCGGAATCGGAATCGGAATCGGAAGAGCGATCCAGGCATTTTGAAATCGTGATCCAAAGATAGTCCTAGTCGCCATAGTCAGAGATTTAGATGTAGTTCCGGATGATCCAGATCCAGTCAATTTAGCAGTCGCGCTCTTGCCCCCGAGTCTTGGTTTGGGAAGCATGTGAGTTGGAATGTACTATCCTCCCGACTGGCCAGCGAATGACGCGAGCGCGACAGGTAGAAAAATTCATGATGTGACCATGACTCCCAAACATATCGACCCGAGTTGCGGAAGCGGAATAAGATATTCTTTTTTGAGCAGGGAGCGAGTCGAGTAAAAAAGGCACGATCTCGAGGCAACAAAAGGAGAAGTGGAAGCACAGGGGGAAATCGAATACACAAACCAAAGGTGAAAAGCAAGATGAAATGCACTTTTCTCGACTTGAAAACTGAATTTTCGGTAAGTAAGGCTGCTCTAACCTATTAGTTTCGCGTTTTACTTTCGTAATCGAGGAGGTCCCAGCACTAGAAAGAGAAAGAAGAGCGTTTGATCTACTAATAGCGGTAGCGGCATAAGAACAGCAACTATACTGGCAATTGCTTCAACCTAAGCAAGACGCATTAAAGGCTGTTAAATATATATCTTCTCAGGCACAGTTGCTTTCCTTGATTTTGATTCGGGCACAGTGTCTTCGACAAATCGTTGTCTCAGTCTCTGTCTCATCTCTGGTCCTGTGGGTTAGTCACCTTAGTCCAGTGTATCAGAAAGCACATCTGTCTTTCCGAGACATAACATAAATAAGGAGTTAGACTCAGCCTTGATATATGAGCAAGGTAAATGAACCAAAGCGAATCTCGTTCAACCCCGCTCCTCGGCCTTCTTTAAAGCCTTGTGACTCCCATCCCATCAAGTCAGGAACCAAAAACTGAAAGACGCCTAGCCCCGGTTAGGCGGAGATCAAGGGATGCGCGTTAGCCCTTTATTAGTAATGGAGGCTTTCTTTTTTTCGTCAAAGAAAAGCCCCCCCTTAAGAAATAGGAGGCGTGGGGGTTTGTTTACCTTGCTTGCCTTAATTATTTATATAATATAGAAGGGTCGAGCGTCTTCAAACCTTAGCACAAGCACTAAGTCAGAAACCTACCTTTTGACAACCTTACTAATAGAAAGGGGAAAGATGCGCTCAATCCGTTGCTTGTTGCTCCAACTTAGGAGTACGGGGCTCGTTGAGCCTTTTCTGCAGGCTGCTATGCTAGTTGTAGCGCTAGCGCTTTACTAATAGAATATAAAGTAAAGGGGACTTTATCATGATCTTAAGAATCTACAACTCTCTTTACTGAGCGAGACTCTACCCAGATCTAAAGAATTAGCCAAAGAGCCTTCTTCTAACTAGGAGAGTAAGCAAGCTACCGGAAGCGAAGCTTCTGGCTCCCCGAATTTCCAATTCCTTCTTTTCGTTCTACTTAGGTGGAGCAATCCGAACTCTCGACAGAATATAAAAGAGCGTCTTCGAACCTGTGTAGACACCTCAACGAACTCATGTGGACACTCCTCAGCCCGAGCCGAGGACAATCTCTAAAAAATACAAAATAAGATGTTGACCCCTTTTTATTTTCTTTGCGGATTCCTCTCAATTTAATTTGCCATGTTGCACTAAGTTACTTACGTATGTATGCATGCGGTCCGGGAACACTTTGGGGTGAACACCCATCCGAACAAGTAGGGTCAATAGTTCAGCATTTAGGCCGTAACATTTAGCAACAAAAAAATCTTTAACCCAACAAGTGCTCTCCGAACCAAGCTAGATAGTCTCCTATCACTAGGCTCACCAACCAACCTGGACTTTGATTCTGATTATTCCTACCGGATATCAAAACCATAAGGATTGTTTCCAGCCATGAGTTCCCATATTACATAAGCGCTCTTGGGTGGGCTGGGCCATTCCATCAAATCTTTGAGAAGGGGCCCAATCTCGTATTTGATGGTCGGCGTGGCGATAGGCTTCGCTTCTGCGACTGCCTCCCCAGCCGTTGCAAAGACTGAGCGAGAACGGTAAGGGGCGCACAAAGAATGTCGTTGCGCGGGGATGCGATTAGCCAAGCTGGGGCAAAGAAAGCCGTCCGGCCCCCTACCGGTTCCGAATTAGGAATGCGAAGGCCTTTCCTTCGAAAGGAGACCGGGGAAAGAAAGAGCTATGCTATTGACCGACCCTTTCGTAGTGACTTCGAATCCATAGTCCTATCCTTTTTTATTATTATTTTTTGAGGCGGGCCGAATAGAGAATGAAATGCAGAAATACGGGAAGAGTTCCAAACCTTTTTTTTTGTTTAAGGGCTGCTCGCCCTACCGAAGTACTAAAGGCTTTCGAGGCTGACACCTCCCTATTACACGACCTAAAAAAAGGTAGCTTGCTGTAGCGCCCTTAGAATCAATCTAAGCCTTTTGAAGCGCCAGTAGTTGTAGCTGTGGGTAGGGCTTTCGTTCTTATCGCTCCGGGTTTCTATCTATATGACCTCCGGGCGGTACAAAGTAAACCTCTTCCGTAGAGGCAGGTAGTAACCTAACCTTTAAGAGTTTGTTCAAGGGGGGAGCCCTCTTTCTTATCTCTATCAATGGAAAGATCTCCGTGCGTGATAAGGAATCCTAGAAAAGATATCATGAGACCCGCCCACTATGACTACGAAAAAAGCCCTGCCTTTTTCCTTCTAACTAGGAGAGTAAGCAACTTATATTAGCGCCGGACCTTGAGTCGAATTGATCGTGTCATGTGCAACGTCCATCAATGATGGTTCATTAATGTCCATTGATTGAGACTCCTTCCCCCTTCCCATGAGCAACTACGAATAAGATCGAGAGGAGCCCGAAAGCCCCCAAAAACCAAGAACGAAAACGGAAGCCTTTCGATTCACTCCCCATTCTCTCTTAAATAAAGCTCGCCCTCGAGCCCTGGGCAGGTCGGCCGGGTCTTTCCCTGTTGTTCTGTTCCTGCCACGAGAAAGACGCACAGAAGAGGTATGCCCAGAACCAGAAGCGGAGGATCCGTTGAGAGTGTCTGTTGTCTCGGTAGGGAACTTTACGATCTTTTCCCCTCTTGTCTTGAATCAATAAAAAAAAATAGGTAAGTGCTACGGCCCTCTATTGTTTGATCCAATATTGACCGGGGACGAGCCCCGACTTCCGTAGGTCCAAGCTTCAGGTTTGACCTCCCGTAGTGGTCCTTGCTTTTAATAAAGCGGAGCGGGGCAAATTTATCGTACTTGCTCAGTGTGCCCCCCTTTCGTCGAGTGCCCCGCCCGGTTCACTGGGCTGTTGGCCTACCAAGCACTTGCCCGCTGCTCCTGCCGCCCGCCAAGCGGAAGCGGGCGGAGCGCTCGTTATCCTTACTGTTCTCTATGCCGGGGCCCCCTCCCATTGCTCTAGCCATAAGCTATGGCAGCTCCAGCTCGAAACCACAGGGGCCCGCCCCGCGAGGCCAGAGTGGGCTCAGCGGTCAGCCCCCCATTCGAATTACGTTACGTTATGGGTATTTAGCTTTTGCCAGATCTAGAGAGATACTACGAGTCCTCCGTCCCAGATTCCATCGCCGCGGCCATCTGGTTCACCGGTACTACCAAAAAGTCTCATGCTTACGTTACTACTTTTACTGAAGGTTTTCTTATATTGGACCACGAAGACCCCGGTCGGTCGTGCTTCTGGTTTCCATTCCCATCATCATATTGATGATAAATCTCCTCGCGCTCTGCCATAATAACTTGGAGTCCGTATCATGGTGAAGGTAAGGTAACGCTGTGATTCTTGCTCAAAAAACAGACCGAACGCGTTCGAGTTATTGGCTCGTCCAACCCGGCAGCATTCATGAGTCGCTCGTTCAACTGTCCCTCGGAGACACGGTCGAGAAGTACCATGCATGGTTGCCCCCCGTCCTTTCTTGCTCTCGGTCCCACCCAGCAAGATACGGCTCAGCCAAAAAACGTGAGCGCCCCTGCGCGAGCCTTATTTAATTTATTAGTAAAGTCAAGCTTTGGCTCCCTAAAGACTAAAGAAAGAAATGGATAAAAAAAAGGGGGGACTTCTGCAACGGGCTATACCACCCAAACCAACTGAGGGAAGTCGCATCCGCCCCATCGCAAGCACCTACAATGTCATGATCACATTGGTTTACCCTTTTTTCTTTGGTAGTTCAACGGACGGTCGCCCCTCCAACAAGAAAAGGTATAAATATGGAAACTTCTCTGCCATTTGGATCGGAGAATTTATGGAGGAAATCGGGTTTTAAATTTCCAGAAACCACACGATTATATAGCCAAAGGGAATACGCCGCGCCTAAAATCATCCCAAGCGCTGCTAATGTGGCTACTAAGCTATTTCTTTGGAAAGCTCCTACTGAGATGGGAAATTCCCCGATAAAGCTGCTAGTACCAGGTGAACTCATATTGGCCAAAGTGGAAGAGAAGGAAATGGTAGAGAGATTCGGCATGGTGCTCACTAACCCTCCGTAATATCTAACAAGTCGAGTCTTATGTCGGTCATATAGAACACCAACACATAGAAAAAGGGCTGAAGGAACCAGTCCATGACTTAACATCGGTGGAATGCTACCTCCAATTCCCTGTATGTTCGATAGAGCCAAAGATTCCCCCCCACTGATCGGAGTACGCCGATTACCCCCCGAACCGTACAAGATAGTGACCGCCTATCATACGGCTTTCTAACTTCACTTTTTTTTTTCTGGTCGTTCCGCTCTGTCGATCGATGGTAGTATAAGAGATCTGATCTGTAACCCCCCTAATTTATTTACAAAAAGGTAAAAGCTTTCTACCCCTACCCATAGTTAGCATGTATCTTCCCGGGTCATACTTGAGTATCACATCGTAGACCCCCACCCCAACTCTATCTTCCTTATCAGTGAACCGGAAAGAGTGCATAGGTACTTTTCAATGCAGCGGGGACGAGACGACGTGAGACGATCACGTACAGAAGTGCTGCCCTTCGGCTCGGCAATATGGAACCTCTCAACAGCTCCCGTTCCTTTATGAGGTCCTATCGGGATAGGTAGGCCCAGCCCAATTCCCCTCCCCCCTGCTTAGCGTTCCACTTGTGATCCTGGATGCAGTGGAGGATTTAAAAAAAAGCGCCCGAATGTTCCCCCTCCCTCCAAAAGACCCTCTTTCTCTTTACCCCTCGAGAAAGAGAAAGAAGAGAAGAAAGGGTTGATTATCTTCTTTCATGTGAACGGCCCTATCTTTTATCGAAAGGTTTTTCGTGCTATACACCACGTTGAGAAAGACCAGCCTCCTATGTACCGTACCCTTTTTTTACTTTACCCCGAAAGGGAGGTCCTCCTTATGATGCTACGGACGGCTGTCCGAAGTGCAAGGGGTAAACTCGGACGAGGATAGGATTGTGCGCGCCGGGCCCTCCCTTCGGGTGTCATCTTTTTGCCGAGTTTACCGTACCTCCGGCCCTTATGTTACGCGACCGTAATCTTTTTTTACGTTCCACCGCTGTTACGCCAGAAATAAAAGGTTCCACACGAGCTCCCGTTCTGCGGCGTGGTGGCAGGACCGATAGGAGATTGGCTCCGGGTGTAGATAGGGTAAAATCCGCAGGAGTCATGCAAATACATAGGCCCCTTCCCCTCTCTTTTAGATGAATGGGGTGGTTTATAACGTCCGATCGAAGGTCCCTCGGAGCGAGGGGTTAGGCAGGTAGTATGGGCCCTCTGACTTCCAGCTATGTCTTGTGCGGCTCCCGCGAAGCGAATGAAGGTAAGCTCTTCGAGCTTACGCTAACTCTCAGCCTCTTTGATTGGTAGGCGGGCGGGCTAAGCCCCCTACTTAAGATTTAATTCATAAGGGTAATTTTCTGTTGTCGTGACGTTTTGGTTAGGCCGACTACTAGACTACTAGAGGTTACTTCTAGCTTCTATAGGGGCCTTTCCACTTTGGTGTAGTTTTTCTTTGTATTGGTACTGAATGAACATATCAAACAAAGGCGAGCAGTATAAGCCCTTCTCCGGCCTGGGAAAAGCAGCGAACTCTAGAAGCTAGGGCGTTGTTCACCTTTGGACACGAACACTCTTCCGTTCTCAGCGTCAACCCGCCTTAGAGATTGAACGGCAATAAGATAAAGATAAGTCGACGTTCAATCTAAGACAGCGCTGATAGCTTGTAGTGAACAGCCCCCTTATTTACCAACCGAAAGCTGCCGTACTTAAGTTAAGTAGTTAAGGTTTGGAACCCTAAAGACTATGATAGAAAGCCGTTTGCTTGTTGCCAAACCCTTCGCCTTTCTTTTGTTTTGAATCAAACAAAGTAGGTCGCGACTGTTGTCTTTTTGTTTAGTAGGTCGGGGGAAGCTACCGCTTATACGACAGCTCTGCTTCCTCGTCTTGCTTCTGGCAAAGCTTCTACTTTGCTTGCTTCTCTCGCGTTGCTTGCGCGAAGGCTTATAAAATAAAGTCCTTTTCGCTAGGTCCAAAAGCTTCCGTCAAAGCGAAAGATCTGATCCAACTGAAATCCCGCATATCCGCTGCGCTCAATATGCGGCTACGGCTAGGCGATCATATCGTGCCATAAAACTCTTTTATATTTTTAGAGAGATCCCCTAGATATACAGATAGAATAGATGTTCATGGATAGACAGACATTCCATTGATTCTTAGTTTTGGGGCTGAAAAAGCTCGTCGATCAAAATGAATGCCCCGAAACTGACCCACAGCACAGCGCCCATTCGCTTCGCGCGCGGGAAGGCAACGAAGTTAAGTTCATGAGACCGCGGCGGAGTGGAGCAGCCGCGACACGAAGTTCCTTACCTTAGCTGGATCTCGCTGGTGCCACCTAAACGGTAAGTAGGCGACGGATGTGTGACGTTTGGAGTTGTCGTTCGTGCACCTGTCCCCAATGGAAGAATGAGTGATCCGTTCCCCTGCGGATCATGGCCTTACCACTCGGTCCCCGATGGCCAGCGGGGGATTCGAGCAGCTTACGTTATTTTGCGCTGCGCGTTCCCGCTGGACTGGACACGTGTTAGCTGTAGGAAGTATGGTTCCGAAAGTGACTTCGGTTCGCCAGTTCAGGCTCAACTCCTCGCTTTACGTTGGCGGACCTACACTAAAGGTCGGGCCGGGGCTCTGCGCTCTTTCTTTCTGTGTGGGACGATGCCGGGGAGAGAAGGGAATGCGTCGAGGCGGCGAACAACAACAACACAACTAACTACATTTTGTTCCCTCCATCCATGATATGAGCCCAGTGCATTGGACCCGATGGATAAGATAACTGAGCTGGCCTAAAGCTTGGGCGCTCTACGTACGATGTAGACTCCATCAGATACATATCGATTTCGTTCTGATGGATCAAGAATAGTTGTCTTATCAATAGATATAAATAGGAGATTTCCCCTTTTTCTTTTTTTATGGATTCCCCCTATATCATTCCTACTCTTTCGATCTATCTATCAGAACGGATCAGGCTATCTATCAATCGATTTGAAAATAGCACGTTCATCTCGCTTTTCGTTCATTTCCGCCACGCCAACATAGCCACAATAATAAGAAGCAGGCGAAGCAGCTAGAAGCGCTCGCTTCTAGCCCTTGAATTCTGATTCACGAATTGGGAAAGCCAACACAAAGATTCGATTCTGACTTCGTAGAGCCGGTGCTGCTGTTGCCTGCGCGTAGGGCCCACTCCCGTCCCGGGGCGCTAAGGGGCTTTTGTTTTTGGAACAGACGGCAATGTTTTGCTGACGCCTTGAATCAAGCTTTTGTTGCGACATGCTATGTTTTCTCCCCCATTGCTAGTAGGTTGATGGGTCGCACGCCCGGCACACATGTTTTGGCCTTGTCTTGTGTGTCCATAACTAAAAATAGGTGACCTAACGGCCGCCGCCCGACTAAACATACCAATAGTCACCAGATTCATATGGGCTACTGAGGAGTAAGCAATGATCTTCTTAAGATCGATCTGTCTTGAAGTGGTCAAGGAAGTATATATTATAGCAATCGCGCTTGGAGTATAAATGAAAGGAGTGGAACAAAGTGTCGCTTCGGGAAACATGGGTATTGAAAATCTTAAAAACCCGTGGGTTCCCAATTTTGAAGGAATTCCTGCCAAGATGACGGATCCTGCCGTAGGTGCCTCTACATGAGCTTCGGGTAACCAAATATGAACTGGTACCATAGGCACTTTGACGGCGAAAGCGGCGAAAGAAGCAATCCATAGAAAGATTTGGCGCCGCTCACTAAATTCTGTGGTTAATGAGATTTGTAAATCGGCGGTCCCTGTTTGGAAAAGAATCAAAAGAATAGCTAATAGCATAAAAACGGATCCAAGTAAAGTATAAAGGAAAAACTGATATGCTGCCTTGATCTTTCTTTGTCTCGAACCCCATACCCCTATAATAATGGTAGAGTCAGGGGTGGCCCCAAAGCGGAATTTACCGGTGGTGGTTGGTCGAAGCTCCAGTAGGTAGCCACTCCCTTCTCAGGGAACCGTACGTGAGACTTCCGCATCATACGGCTCCGTCCCGAGCTTCCGTCGTCGGCCCTTGTCATTAGACCACTATCTATGCATGTATATTAAGCCTGGACTCTCGAATCTTTTGCTTCTCGGGTGGTGGCGAACAATGCAGCTTGCGTTGCGGGAGATGCCCGCCCGTACCGTAGGGCCCGGCCCGCTTCTCGCCCGAAAGAACCGCTCAGGACTAGTGGGGGGCCCTATCTGGAGACATACTGAAAACCATGCCTTTCGAACCGAACGCAACGCCCGTCTTCCAAATCCAAAAAAGGGCTCGTTGGGAAGAAAGATGGAGTGCGGCCTGTAGAGCACATGTAACGCACAGTCGGGTTGCTCACGCAGTGGATCTCTCTCTCTAGATATCTAGAGAGAGAGATGTGAAAGTAATAGCCTTTATTTTATGGCCGCCCCCCGACTTACGGCTTTACGCTACTACTACTGTGATGTGAGCGGTTCAAATTGCTTTTTTTTTCCCAATTATCCTGGCCGGAACTTGTATGCAGCACTTATACGAAGGTGCATGCATGCATAAAGGTTTGGAACTCTTTTTTCTTATCTGAATCTTAAAGACAGGACCCTACCCTATTCTCGAACCCTCTACCGAGCTTAACCCTGCCCGCATTTCCATTTTTTTTTGAAGGGGGCCAAAGAAATGTCTCCACCTGCTGCCAACAGTCTTTCTTCGTAATTATACTGAACGGGTCGATCCTCCCCTCCCCTTTTTGTTGTTTTAGCAACTTATCCTAAGGTCTCCTCACCAAGAGCTCCCCGGCGACGACAGAGGAACCAACCCGCCTGCTGTGGCGGGGCGGCTTTTTTTTTCACAATAAGACCTGGACGATTATCCCTACCCTCGGTAGCTTACGAGTTTACGTCCATCCCTGGTTGGGTACAGTTTCCTTTCGATTTATCCCTTGTAGCCGTTACCCGAATTCGCGCAAGTGTGTCCACACCCCCCACACTGACTTGACGAGGAATCCATTCTCGCGAACAAACACAACCCCTACACACACCTAGGAGCACCCCTTCCTGCATATCCATACAAGACCCGAGTAGGCGGGTCGAGGTCCTACGAGGTACCCACTACTCGGGAGTACCCTCCCAAAAGGAAAAAGATGTGTCTGTCAGGTTCGGTTCGTCTTAGTTGGGTTGGGCGGGTTCGACCAGAAATGCTATGCTTACGCACAAGACTACCCCTCTTCCCGAAAGCTTCGCGGGGACTACTTTACGACGGACGACCGCCCGTAGGGGGTTTACTGCACAAGGCCCCTGCAGAGGAAAAGCTTTATCCCAGCGAATAGAAGATGCTCAGCTCCGCACAACATAGGGATTAGCACGCTTTCGGGAAGAACATAGAATAGTAGAGGATCCAGCATGCGGAACACGGCGATCATTAGAAATTCACGAATTAGAGATGCTGTAATATACTCTTTCCCATAACTTCTCATACCAGACCAACCCACTAAAATACAAATAGGGATAAGAAATGTGGTCAATATCACGAAGAAAAAAGAGAGACCGTCTATACCCAAATAAAAATTGATGTTTTCATAAGGAAGCCATCGAAGGCTTTCCACAAATTGAGATTTGGCCGTAGAAGGATCGAATTGTATCCGAGGAACAGGGGAATACAAAAAAGTAATAAGAGAGGCACACAGACCAATCAATCGTATCGGTCGTATTCTTGAATTTGGAATGAAAAGAGGAATAATGCTTCCTAGCACGGGACACAGAATAGGACCACTTAGATCAGAATAGCATTCACAGAAATGTTCTAACATAGAGTAGAATCGAAGATTGAAGAGATTAGTTGACAACAGTAAAAAGATGGGCGCCTAATTCCAAGACAATAGGGGTCTATCAGTGCAAGTCAGCTGAACACCGTGATTGATGAGTGGGTAGGTGGGTTAGGTGCGCCTCTCGTCCAGTGGGAAGTATTGAGGCGAGTCTCCTCCCCCCTCCCCTTTTTTACTCTATCCTTTTGCTTGTGCTTCTACCCGGGCTTTTCATTTTTATAAGATTCATTGCTCGATTTTGCATGCTCTGCTCCCAAAATGCAGAGAGACTTTCGAGGGCAGATCCGGGTCCGGAAAGTCATGGGAGAGGCGGGCTAAGTGAAATAAATATATATTAATCTAAATGGAGCTATGTCGACTGACGTACGTCTCGTTGACCAAACGATCAGGTATACCACGCCACGTATCATCCCCTCTTTCTATAGAGGAGAGATAAAGAAAAATAAAAGATATAGCGATCGTGCCGTAAGACCTTGTTCCTTTCTACTTGACGTTATTTTCCTCGGTTTTTTTACATTACATAAGGCCTTTAGTTTAGGGCTGACTTAGCGCTTGCGCTAAGGATATAATCAGAGTCAAACTTGGATTTGAAAAAAAAACCTTTCCCTTATTAGCCGGAATACAAGTGTACTCCTTGATCTTTAGTAAAGGCGGATTAAGAAAAAGATTTTTTTTAATTTTAAAAGTCTCAACGTCCTCGTTGAGAGTCGCTCTGCGAGACGCCCAGTAGTCTCTTACTTGGTCTTCGAATCGTAAGTTTCAGCCCTTCTTCTCCCAGCTTGCCTCGCTCTCAGGTTGGCCCTTCTACTTGACTAAGTAGTATTCTACTCGTGCAGTGGGTGTATGGGCTAGCCCATGGTGCGGTCAGCTATGATATATATACTATTTTTCTTTCTTAGTAAGTGAATCTACAACATCTGGTGGTGCCCTCGTGGGCTGGGCACGTTCCTTCCCTTCCCTCTCTGGGTCGGTCTGGTCTAATCGAAGTCAACTGACTCACATGGAATACGGGGTGAGTTTTAACCGAGCTGATCGCTTGAGTCTATAGGCTACCTCTCCTATCCGCTTCTCTACAAGGTCTACTTTATTCTTCCTTCAGACCGGGCCAAGCCTTTAGTTTAAGTAGGTTTGGGCTAGGTCGTTGCGCTCCTGCCACGTCTTGGCAAAGTAAGTAGGCCTCTTGTTGGGCAAGCCTCCTCCTGCCGCAATGGAATAAGAAGGGGCGTCAGAGGCTGTTGCCCCGTGGCCAACTCGAAGGGGCTGAAGTTCGACGCAGAGCTTTTTGGTTGTTAATTTATAGCAGCACTGAGCAACATCCAACAGCTCCAGTCCTTCTGGTTGGTTTGCACTAAAGTGCCTTAAGTAGCCCTCGAGGAGTCCGTTTATTCTCTCCGTCTGAGCTTTCAAAGATATACCGACCGTAGGTATCTTAGTGGTAAGTAAGATACCTACAGTCGTCTTCTAACATTACCGACCTTTAAATATCGGGTTTTCATCATCAGAAACAACCCGATTTCCGAGACCTCTTGCATTGCATTACCATAAAAAAAGATAAATTGCTCTTGTGACTCGGAATGAACCTTTCTTCCATCGATAAAGGAATAGCGATGGATTCCTATGAAGCATTCAGGAACAAGAAGATTCAATCGGACGACGAATTCTTACGTGGTCCAAGGAAATAAAAGGTCCGCTTCCACGATTGAATCTATATCGAACTTAATATCAGAATAGCTTATATAGTCATGATTCAATTCAGGTCCACTGACTTTTGATTGATTTATCTTCGGATCTGATTGGAACATTGGAGAAGTCGGAAGACTTTGGCGGGCGATTCATAATGGGTATCTAGAAGATCTATGTCCTAGGACATAAAATATGAATAATGAAGAGAAAGATATATATAAATACGAATTTCTGTACACCTAATTTATTTTCCTGGGATTGTAGTTCAATCGGTCAGAGCACCGCCCTGTCAAGGCGGAAGCTGCGGGTTCGAGCCCCGTCAGTCCCGACCTAGGATCCGATGAATCGATCAATTCATCTCTGTAGGGGGGGCAAAGAAGGATTAGGATCTAATTCCCAGCAGGAGGATCCTTCTTTCGTTTCGCATTTATCATCGGACAAATCAAGGAATAAAAATAACAATAACTAGTACCGATTGATGGAGGAGAGACATATGTAGGTTGGTACAATCGGGGGTATCACCATATTAAGCATATTAAGTAAGGATTAATAGATATACCGTACAGGTCTGGCTTTTTTCGATTGTTCCTGGCCCATCGAATAGAGTAGCAATTTATTTCCCGGGAGCACAAAAAATCTAATTTGATTTTTTTTTTACGATACGCAATTAACTTAACATAGTTACCCCCACAGAGTACTTTTCAGATTCAACCTACCCTTTCTTTCTAGCTCCTATTTTATTTTCTTCGCTACACCTATTATTCCTTCTTCCAATCAATTCGAAATAATCCAACGTCAACTGCTCTACTCTAATTAATAGGTTTTTTTATTGTATTGATCCCGGGATCTATCGAAACTATAGTATGGGCATATAAAAAAAAAGCAACCAAGTCATCCCTTAGCACAAGCACTAAGTAAGCAAGCTACCTTTTTTTATAATTTTTTTTTATAAGAAAAAATCACCCATCAAATATTGAATGACTGAGCACTCAAATCCTATCGCGAGTCTTGATAAATAGTATTTGATTTTGTCCTTTCCACAACTCCTAATTTGATTCTCCATCGGCCCATCAAATCTAATTCACGACTCAGTCAGTAGACACTACACTAGTACTAGTAGGGTAGTCTTAGGAATTTAAAAACCAAAAAGCCCTTCTTCTTGGATCCTAGGAGCAAGGATTTACAGTCCTTTAGAAAAACCTTTTGATCCCAAGATTTCCGGCCCCTTACTTTCGTATTTTTTAATCTCACAATTTTATCTTACTACCCAAGTCGATCCTATTGGCAACGGGCAAACGACGCTTACGCGGGATCTCGGTGCCTTTCTCTTGCTCTTGAAAGAATAGAAGTTGAGTTCGAGTTGTTATCATGCCGGATCAGAAAAGTAAAAAGCCATACTAAGAGCCAGCGGACCTGCTCACGGGAGTCAGGCCTGTTCTGTAGTGGGCAGACGTAGCAGGGCCATCTGAAAGAATATAGGAAAAAGAGCCGCTGGAGAAAACCAATTACGCCGGGTTCTCAATGGAATTTAGTATGTAGTGAGTTTGAATTGACCCGGTTAGCTAGAAGGTTCCTTTCGCTACCGTCCTAAGGTTCAACCAACCGTTGGTTTGCTTTAACAAGATTTCACTTCAGTGAACCCGACGCGAAGTTGGTGAAACCTGAGCGTAGCTAATGAAAGGGAATACCTTAGAAAAAAACCGACTATAAGCCCTGAGAGCCAGCAAGCAAACCCCCCTTACTCTCTCTCTATAAAAAAAAAGCCTGCGTAGTAAACTACTTGTTTATTTTCTTTCCGATAGCTGCCTAGTTAGTTTTTCCAGTTTTCAAGTAAAGCGAGAAAGCAAGTGGAATAAGACTTGACTTTTTTCGGCCATTTCTCGGCAATAGCTACCTGAATGGAAGCAAGCTACCTTAGGGGATAAGAAGAAGAGTGGTCGAAGACTACGAGTCGAAGCTAAGACCAATCGAAGCCAATTTCCCTCAGCTGGAAACTATCTAGATAGCTTCTTAGCGCTTAGTTACTTTCTCCTTCTGCGCCGCTAGCGCGACTACTCCTAGTGATAGGAATAACCTACTCTTTTTGTACCTAGAGAAGGCCCATCCCTGGATCTAGTGGCCGGTGACGTATTCTAATGATCTGGATCTCTGGCTTATCTCTTACTTGACGGATTATATTTCGGCTAGTGGGATTTAAGTGACGATAATCAGGGAAAAGGGTTGATTGGCTCTGATCGATACCATCTAAAAGTGCTTGCTTCATCCATTCGTGACATTACTGGTTATTCTTACTAAGTTTCGCCTCTAGTGACTCTTGGAATCATGCGCATGGCTCCATGTCGGCCTTAATTTGGTTGGCGTCGGTGTAACGACTGGTGCAAGTAACAAAGACTACGAATGCCCTAACACCACTTGTTACGCATTAGAGTTAAGAAACCTTGGGGCTGATCTATATAAGAACTACATATATAGATAGGAAGGCAAGCACTTGTCGAAAGACCAATTCTTCTTTCTGCAACTCGATTTGCTGGTTTTTCTACTGCGGGCTGGCTCCCAGGCTTTCCTGCTGCCTTTTTCAATGCCTCTCCCACTGCTTTCATCGCTGGTGCCTCCACCTCTGCAAGTAGTTTTGTGGATTCACCTACTTATTTATGCCTGGGGCTCGATGCCCTTATGGATAAATAGGTGGTTCTGAATCAACGGGCTCTGCTGCCCCCGTATAGCGACTCTCTGCTGCTTTTACTTAGCTGTTTGTTTGCTCCTGCCTTTGTATCTGCTATGAGTGAATCTACTCTGGGGTGAAACAACCACTGCGATTGCCTTTGACCATACCTTTACCTATGCCTATATTCATATCTTCAAGTTGCAGATCCAGAGCGAGTAGTTGCTTCAGTGGAGCCGGTTGATTCCGGCGATTCTGTTGATGAAGCAGTCAATGAAGAAAGACATTTGAGTCAGTCGAAGAAGCAAATGCTCTCGCCTTAGGGAAGCATACACACCTACTGCGAATTAGAGAGACCTGACCTACATTCATTAATCATCTCGTAGGAATTTCCCTTCTCAAGGTAGGTCAAAAGAGCAAGCCGAGACTACTAGTAGGTCTCTTTATTTTAAAGAATCCTACTAGTAATCGCCGACGGACTAACCAAAGAATACTGTGTTGGAGCGTCTCCTGTGGCTAAGCGGGTAATGCACCTAAACCGGAAATCCGGGCCACTGTTCACTGCGCTTTATTTAAAGCAGTGTGCAGTGTCACTCCAGCAAGCTTATGCTGGGGTTCCTCAAAAATCTGGTTTATGAATCCGTTCCTCTTTCTCTTACGAGAACAGGATATCGTAAGATTATTCCCTATTATCATCGAAAGTTGATGAGAGTGAAAGAGAGCAGATACCTTAGTTAATATATAGAATACCTTTTTTTTTAAGTATGTAGAGCTATCCGACTCGCTAAGCGAGTTGATAGAAGTATTCTTAAGTCTATCACAACCATCTCTGATGTGCCTCCGATTCAGCTTAATCTCCTTTCCTTACGGAGATTCTTGCTCAAAAGGTTCTGCAAGGCTAATCGTACGATACCTTGGTTCTATATTTTCCTTTCTTTGTGTCAAGGCATTATCTGGAACCCAACTTACTTGGAAAGCCATTCCGTCCAGGTCGCCGGATCGGAGGCGTCAAGGTCTCTTTTACGAAGATACATTGGTTTCTTCTTTACGCACATTCAAGTGCAACGGTTTCATTGAATCTGTCTGTCACTGAAATGGACGTCGAAGGGTATCCATTGTGGTCTCATTTGGTTCGTTCGTTATGCTTACGATCCAAATAACGACTTACTTTCACAGACTTCTTGTGAGGAGTCTATTAAGTTTCTTCGTTCCAAGCGTTTTCTCAGCCTACCGAAGACACCTTCCGGTATGGTTCTCCTGGTCGACTGGCATCTTAAACATATGCGGGAGCAGGGAAGAGGCGGATATTCGCTATTTGTAACTACGTTAACCAAAGGCTCTTGAAACTCCCATAGCTTAGGGGTCAACTCCTGCTATTGGTTCAACCCAAAATCTTGGTAGTCGAATAGCCTCGTTCCTATCTTCAGGGAAGAGATTTTCTCTTATCTTAGAATTAGGTCTATCTATTCTATTATATATTAATATATATATAGATAACCCATACGTAGACGAAAGTAGCATTCAGGCATCGGTGGAAGCGCTAAGCGAAAAAAGTGAAAAAGCTTTGAAGCCGATCGAACCGAGAGTAGCGGATTAGCGGCTGATCTTCTACCTGATCTATCTACCATATTGATGTATTAGAGAGACCGAGTTACTACGAGGGAAGAAAAGATGAACCAGCTCTATCGATTAAAAAATCCCTGTACCTTTGTGAAAGACATCGCATGGAATAGCTTACACGGAAAGGAGCTTGGTACAAGCTCAGATTAAAAATATAAGTTCCTGAGCTAGAAGGAATGGGATCAGGGGTGGGTAATAGACTGACTGCCAAGGAGCGGAGCAGCTCGACCCTTATATATTATATAAATAATTAAGGCAAGCAAGGTAAACAAACCCCCACGCCTCCTATTTCTTAAGGGGGGGCTTTTCTTTGACGCGCGCATCCGTTTTCTTGCTGGGAGAGGAGTTCAGCTGCTAATAAGTGAAATAAAAGAGCGGACCGCAACAACAACTAGACCTGAGAAAAGAGCAGCTTTCAGGCATCCTCTCATTGAGGAGGTCTTAGATAGAAGATGAGCCGACGGTAGGACTCTCTTAGAGTGTGGGAGTATAACAGTAGCAGCAGTTATGGCCCCATACCCATGAGCATTGGCGTGAGCAGCTAAGCTAAGGTCGGACAGGAAGAATGGGTGGGCTTACAGGCTACCTATTTCCTCAGCCGATAAGAGAATCTGTCTTCAGCACAGATCGAGGCTTGTCGAAGAAAAGTCTCAAGTCCTCTATCGCTGGACTAGACTAGATTTCGAAGATTGAGGAGTGGCAAATCTCAATGGAATTCCAGAACAAACTCCCAAAAGAAGGGTAGTCAAAGACTACCTCTTTCTCCTGGCCTGGCTGGCTCTCCTACCTGGGATCCCAACTATCATCCATATCCGTTTACCCTACCTGCTATCGACAGTCCTTCCACCTGTTACTCACTCTCCGGAGGGAGATGGATGGATCGTGCTTGTGCTATCAAGCCTAAAAATGATTTCGAGCGGTATTCACGGAAATTAAAAAGATTGAATGGTTGTAAACAGATTCGCTAGTTGGGTCAATTGGCACTCTTTCACTAGTGATTGTAAGCTAGGTGCCCTTAAATAAATGACAGGAGGGGAAGAAGCTCTAACGGAAGCATCCAATCAACCGGGAATCCCACCTTTCAGATTCTACATCTGCTACTGCTGGAGTGGAGAATGCCTCTACTACCTGTGCCAGCAAACTTATACTAAAAATAAGAAAAGGCTAGGTGTCCATGCCACCAACCAACTCCTGAAAGAAAAACAAGCCCCGGCAAACCACTAGAAGTTACCCATCGAGTCGAGCAATGATCCAATTGGAGAAGCAAGCTGCTCGGAAACACCCCATTTCCCAAGACGTAACTAGACCAAGAAAAAGCTCCAAAGAAGAAGAAGGACTGATCGCAATCTCAGGTACAATGGCTAGTTGGAAAGCCTTTTCAAGCCAATCTCTTGATTCACATTCATGTGAAACCGTTGCAACCGATCCTGCATACCAATCATCCGCCGCTTACAGTAATGGCACTAAGCCAAGGTTTCTATGGATTCAGTCCTAGTTAGAAGGAAAAAGACATATCTTAGCTTAGGGCAATTCAGTTAGTAGTGTCACCGGTCAATCCTTGGGACACTAGCGAGTCCGTCCTTAAAAGCCCTCAAAATGGGGTCCATGAAGCCTTAGATACTCCAAGCCTCCATCTTTATTGTCCCATAACCTAGACCATGGAAGTATGGTTATAGTCCCATTCCATTAGTGGGATCCATAGCCTACGGGTCTTTCCCAAGCCAGTCAATTAAGAAGGTTTTCGAGGACTACCCTAAGCCTACAAAGAAGTAGGCAGGACTTTCAGTTACAATGTCTAGGTTGGGCAAGCTTGGAGATAGAGGGTTTTCTGGGGGAGATACAGTTTCCAGGTTGGATTTTTTAAATAGGACTAGTTGGGGAGATAGAGGTGGTGAAATCTAACCTTTGCATTGATGTTTGGCAGGGCGGGTCGCTTGAGTGTCAAAACCAAACCCAGCGGTGGTTGTTTTTCCTTGGCTTATCGAACCAGCGTATGCCCATTCCTCCTTTTATGACTCCCAGTAGAGAAAGCCTAAGCCGATGTGGATTGAAAGGAGGGGATGGACATAGATCCTTCCGCCTATCCGGAGTGTAGGAAATAAAGCAATGGTTTTTTTATTTCTTATTTCCCAATCACTGGAAGCAATCTTTACTGGTACAAGGATCTCCTCACAGCAACCTTCACTACGATAGAACCCGACAATGAGTTTACGAAGGCTTCGAGTAGTGCGAGATAGGCTAATCACCAGACTGCTCTGGAATAGGTTAATCGCCGGAGACAAGAACGAGTGAATTGAATCTTGTTTCGCGAGCATGCCTTACTATAATAGGGGGCGCAGAGTTTCTAAGTGAAGGCAAGCGCAACTATCTATTTCATATCCTCCCTGTCAGAAAGTCATCAAGAAGGGAAAGCCGACCAAAAGACTATTCCATAACCTACTCTTGTGGCCGAATCGAGGGGGCTTGGCTTGTACCAGGCTCTAAAATAGTTTTCTTCAAGCGAGCAGTCTTTCTATCTTTTTGGGTTGCATGCCCAAGGCAATGTTTTTTGTGTCAGCCCTGAGATGGATTGGTCTTCGCTATCGTGCCTCTTCCTTGTACCAGTTGATGCAGCGGCAGTGCCTAATATGAGTTTGCTCCTGCCCCAGACAGCTTCGAGGTTCCCATCGATCGATTACAGAGGTTTCAACCACTGAACTTGCTTATGCTCCCTTAGATCCGTAGATAAAGGTAGAGCCCGGACCCGGATGTGCTCGCTTTTCGCTCCTCTCACATTCGTTCGAGCTGCTTCCAAAGGTGAGAAAGCCAGTTTATCTGAGCTAGGACACATGTCCGGAAAAAAATCCGAGGTCTATGATGCCGAACCGACATCCCTGTTTGGAATAGGATTTTCTTGAAAGGGACCGGCTAACCACTCGCTCTCTCAGTCGAGCAAACCTTTAGCTTTCCTTTGACTTGCGGATACTTCCTTGCGAATAAGGACGGACTATAGTGCTACTGCTAGAGGGGACTCTGCTAGGCTTGCTAATTCGATCCTTGTCCGATACGGCAGCTGGATCACCGCCTTTCCAATCAAAGAAAGGACTAGTATAGCAAATCGATCTATTCAATAGCATAGAGAATAGTACGTTTAGAATGACAAGGGCTAGGGCTAAAGCAATGAGGATTGGATTTATATGGATTTGGGTTGTCTCCCGCTACACCTTCACAGCAAGGAAAAAATCTCATCTTCATATCTTAATGGGAACATTCGGTCATAGGCCATTTCCCCTTTCCA